GGGAGGGATAAGTCAAGTTTGCCTGGGGTCAACAGGGTTAGAATGTATGATACTTACATGTTGATGTGTTTGTAAATATTGCAATTTATTGAAACAAAAATGGAAATCAAAAGAATTACAAATTTATACATTAAATTATTATTTCTAATGGCTATAGAGAAAAAAACAACAACTGATGTTCCCAGCCACAAATATTATGCACTTGTAATTTCCTGAGTTTTTTTCGAAGTCTTGAAATAAGAATCAATTTCAGACAGCTTAAAAAAATTATCTTTAAAACTTTAGAATAGTTAAACTACTTTAATGAAATTTGTAGACAAATTTTGTGCTACCATAAACATGGAATAAATCAATAAACACTTCTTACACGTTCTTTGCCTAAATATCATTTTAAAAAAAAAAAAAAAAGGGCAACTTGACAGTGTTTGATAGTGTCACTGCCTACAAAATGTTGACATGTAATTTAGAACTTCTGATTTTGGAAAGAGTTCCTTTGGATTCAATTCGGGCTAACTATGAGGGGAAAAAAGCCACGCATCTTAGCAAAAGGAATTGGGAAACCCATTCTACGTTATCAGTCCCATCAAAACTAGTCATTCTACTGAAACTTATGGTGTCTTAGATCTCTTTTGTATTAATTTATTATCTGTGAACACCATGCATTTCGACACTACAGAAACATTTACCTTCACTGCTCTGATATCAGTTGAAAATTCATCAAAACCTCCTAAGAGACAACCAGGTTTTTTTTGTCTCCTATTCTTTAAAATGTTTGGTTGGAATCAAGCATATTTAGTGGAAAAGAAATTTAAACTCAAGGCCCAAAGAGATCTAACAATAACAGCTGTAGTGGCCACACTAAATGTAATTTTTTGTGTATTTTCCCAGGAATTATGCATTACCCTGCCAGATAAGGTATTGAATTCTTCAGCAATCCCCTTTCCCCAGAAATTACAGTAGTCTTTTGACTTCCTACCTAGGGACCCTTCTCTCCACCTCTAAAATTTTCAATCTTTCAGTGGTCGAGCAAGGATGTCTATCTAGATGTGTACATCATAATTAGCCTAACAAAGAGGTACAACCCCCTACCTGGGGACCCCTTTCTCTACCTTTTAAATTTTTGATCTTTTAGTGGGTGTGTGGGGATATTAATCTGGACACGTACAATAATTACTCTAAGAAAGAGTTCAAATAATTATGCCAATCTTAAGCTTATTGACAGCGCCCGCTAAACATCACGTCAGGGCTCTTTACATGGACTAATTGTAAGTTGGTCTTGAATGATCCTACAAAGCCTTGAAATTAAGATTACAATTCCTGAGTTCACGAAGGCAGCCTAAAGGATCAAAAGCATCTAATGGCAGAGAATTGCGACCACATCCGTTGAAATTCCATGGAGTTGAGGAATTTCCTTTAGTGTTGGCCTGGATCCGTTGAATTAGCGGTCAGACTAGGATCCCATCACGGTCTGCCAACTTCAATTGCTGCCCTCGGCGTTGTCTTTTAAGAATTCCAGTAGTTCGGTAGGATATGCTCCCTTATCGACAGCCTTGCACCATCTTCGGTACTGAAAATTAAAACAGTATCACAAAAATAAATAATTTTGGAAGAAGCCACGGTTAGATTCATGTCAAATATCGAAAGCTCTCGCATCTTCGTTTATGAAAGAGTTCAGAAGTGGTATCACTTGCTTATGGTTGATGTGTTTGACAAATGAGTAATATTTATGATTCTTTGTGTTGATGACAACTATTACATCGTTTGATCTAGAAATAACATTTTGTATCATCAGCTATGCCAGAGAAAAAGCGAGGACGAGGAGCGTTTTGTTTTTCTCAAGAAAAAATTTTCTCGAACGATCACAAAAACTATTAGGTTACAACTTTAACCATCTTCACAAATGAGATTAAGGCAAACAGTGCTCTATTCACTCGGTTGTACAATGCCTTACCATTTCGAGCTCTTCTCGAAGTTTATACACATAAGTTTCTTTGTCAGCGATCATATCTTCTAAGCTCTTGTATCGCAGCTTCTTTCGAGCGCGACACTCTCGGGCAGATTGCCTACTTCGCTCCAGTTTTGCTTCCAAGTCGATTTTAGAGGGTCTTCTGCCTCTCTTTTTACCACATGGCTTTTTAGTTGAGTTCATCTTTGAAGATTTCTCGTTTAGGGAGTCTAAGAAGGGTGAATCAGAAGAGGAATTGCTATCAACCGAAGAGATACTATCGTGTTTGGTCCGACGAGTAGCAGACCACGAATACTTCATTCCCTCCTGTACGGTCGATCCGTCGATTTCTGCGGCTGTGGTCTCTTCGTATGTATTGCTTTTGTTATGACAGGACGAGACGACAGCCATGCACGGCTTATCAACAATCAGGAATTATTAGAAAAACAAAATTTCTTTCGCGAGGAGAGGGCGCCTTTATGTACGTGTACGTGGAAAACTTCGCTATGCACTGATCAAAACAAAGTGATGTAATGTTATGGCTAGTGATTGACAGGTAAAATAAACTATTGATCCTCGTGTGATTGGACAAAATTTCAGTATCTGGGCAACTGCTGGAGAAACATTCAGTGCAAGAACCAATGAAAAGTTAGAAATCAGCTTGTTACGCAACATGTGACGTTCTTGGCGGGAAGTGGGTGAAGCGGGGCGCACTCATGACTGTCACATGATGATGACGAAGTAGACCTAGGCACAGAATGAATAAGCACTGAAGGATATAATTAAATAATGGACTTTTTCCTAATTTGGGAAGAGCTTGGAAGTGAACTCTCTAAAGGGACTACTCGGTATGAGACTGGTCACGAAAATATTCATGGCGACCTGCGCAGGCGTGGAGGCTAATTTGAATGGTTCGAAATGTG